TAATTTTTTTATGACTTCAACTCGATGCCCTTCAAAATCCTGATTGTTTTTTCCTTTATACACTCCAGCTTATCAGTGGCTTTCTTAAATTGTCACCTAGACTGGAGCACAATACTCAAGATGAAAGGGACCAGGGCAGAGTACAGCCACTCTTTGGTTTCCCTATCTCTCCCCAGGAAAGCTTTAATCCAAGATTTCCTTATCACAGTCTATTAAGGATGGCCTATTTTCCCTTCTCTCTCAGCCTTAATCCTTGTTTTTACCCCTCTCACCAACTACTGTCACCTCTGGCCCCCATTTCTGCTAATTCCTGGATCAGCATTTCCTACACAGCCAGCACTACCCCAGTTAAGTTCCAAATCCTGGATATGAGACTCTTCCAGGCCTGTCTCAGTGTTTCCATTCATCTCAACACATGCGCAGGTACCCCAATATGTCTTGTGAAAGAGCTGAGGTTTCCTTGGCAGTCTGGTCTCTGTGGGATTGGGAAGATGGTGCTCTCATCATCTTCCCACCTTCTTCATGTCATGTAGGGAAGCTTGTAGGGGTCACAGGGGATTTTGGGGATTTGATAGCAGTGAAGGTGGGGGGCATCTTTCTGGGTACAGTAGAGTGGACTCAGGGTGCAGGAGAAGAGGGGCATCTGGGTATAGGGGTCTGCATCACTAAGGCTTGGCCTGTTCTGTTCAGAGGCTGACAATATGTGGCATCTCCCTTCTGTCAAGTTTCAGGTTGAAGGAGCCCAGATGCTCCTGACAGCAGGTCCTCCATGTTCTTGCTTTCCTCTTGTCTTCCCCACCCCCACCTGCCAGGCTGCTGGTGGTTGGGGCAGATAAAGATACACACAGCTTCTGGGGCTTGCAGAAAAGCAAGGAGGAAGAGGTAGGGGCAATTGGAGCCAATGGATGGTGTGAAGGGCCTGGCAGGACCAAGCTACCACGTTGGGGAAGGTCCCTCCAGCCTCAGAGCCTGAATTTTTTGGCTATGTGTAATATTGGAGTGGGGGATTCTAAAATGTCATGTGCTCCCTTCTATACTTTACCCTCCCCAAAGACAACTCAACTCTGCCCCTAAACCTCCCCTCTTCCTTCCCCCTAAACTTCCCCCCTTCCTTCCTTTCTGCCTTTGTGGTAGGTGGGGCACAGGGGTTCTTGACTGGGCCTTGCTTCAAGTGGGACTGAAGTAGGTGAGGGATTCCCGCCCTCTGCCAAGTGATGGGAAAATCTGACTTCTCAACCTGCCTCTCCAGATCAGCTACCCTCTCCTCTAAACCTGAACTGGTTTAACCAGTTTCATCCTTCTGTAATCTGGTAAGAGGTATATGGGTGTCTCAGATTTGGTTCTTCTACTAATCAGGAATAATAATAATAATTCTAACAGCTAACATTGGTAGAGCTTACTATATATCAGGCAAAGCATTTTACAATTACATCATTTGATCCTTACAACAACCCTGGGAGGGAGGTGCTATTATTTTCTCCATTTAACAGATGAGGAAAGTGACATAGAGTTGAAATAACTTGACAAGGTTCAAACAGCTAAGCCTAAATTAGAACTCTGGTATCCCTGACTCCAGGTGCAGTGCTTCACCTAGCTACTGGATCAGGAACTTTGGTTTGAGTGGGCATTCCCATCACCTCAGTTGATTTTCGAAGATCTGAGATGGAAGGGATCTGACACCTTGGACAAAAGCATTTATTAAGTGCTTACTGTGTGTCCAGGTGCTGTACTAAGTACTAAAGATAAAAAGAAAGTCTCTGCCCCGAGTGGCTCACAATCTGGGGGCAGGGAAGGGAGAAGATGTAAATAATTATACATGAACAAAATATATACAGTTTATACCAGAAATAGTCTCAGAGAGAAGGTGTTAGCATCAAGGGGCTTTATGAGTTGTCACTTAGCCAGCAGGCAGCCATGAGGAGAGAGATATAATTCTAGGCATTCTACAGGGCCAGTTAGTTAAAAAAAAAAAACAAAAAAAAACAGAGTCTGAAAATGGTGGCTTGTGAATAAACAGCAAGGATGCCAGTGTCATTGTATCATAGAATAAATAGAGGGGAAAGTAGACTGGAAATCTAAGAAGGTGTCTGGTTGTAAAATGTTTTAAATGCCAAACATAGCATTTTATATTTGATCCTGGAGGTAATAGGGAGTCACTGGAGTTTATTTAGTAGGGAAGTGATGTATTCATATCTGCAATTAAGAAAGATGACTTTGGCAGCTGTTTGGAGGATGGGTTGGAGTAGGAAGGCACTTGAGGAAGGAAAATCAGCTAACAGGCTATTGCAATAATCCAGGTATGAAGTGAAGAGGCTGTTTGTTGCCTCATCCCTTTTCATACTAACAGCTGGCATTTATGTAGGGATTTACCCTTTGCAAAATGCTTCATATCTGTTGTCTCATCAGGTCTATGAAGGAGGAGTGTTTATTTGCATGAGAATTGCATATGCTGTGATAGGGATTTCCCCAGTGTATAGTATTCTTGGCCTTTTACTAATGCAAACAGTCACCTCCTTTGTGCCTTATGGAGGCAGTGAGGTGCCCCAGTGGATAGAGCTCTGGGCTTGGAATCAGGAAGATGAGTCTTCCTGAGTTCTAATGTGACCTCAGATGCTTATTAGCTGTGTAAGCTTGGGCAAGTCACTTAACCCTATTTGCCCCAGTTTCCCCATCTAGAAAATGAGCTGGAGAGGGAAACATCAAATCACTCCAGTATCTGCCAAGAAAACCCCAAAAGGAGTCACAAAGAGTCAGACGTGACTGAACGACAATAGTACCATATACTCTGAGCAGTTTAAGCCACTGAGTTGTGGAATCTTAGATTGGAAGAGACCTCAAAGGTAGATGTGAGGAGTGAGAGCACTTCTGGTACAGGAGACAGCTAGTCCACCCTGGACCTGAACAGAAATCCCCTCTAAAACTTCCTCAGCAAATGGCTGTTCTGCTTTAGCTCAAAGACCTCCAGAGAAGGGAGATCTGCTACTTCCAGATGCCTGTGTATTTCACTAGTGGACAGCTCTGAAATTTTTCCTTACCCCATGTCTAAGTGTGTTTCTTTGTAACTTTGCAGTCATTGCTTCTGGCTCTGACCTCTGGGGTCAGAATGAACAAGTTCATTCCTTCTTCCTTTTTTTTTTTTAAGTGTTAAAATTATTTATTTTTATTAGGATTAAAAAAGGTGCAAAGTTGTTGTCTTCTTAAAAATTTCATTCCTTTAACTTGCTGTATTTTTTTTTCTTTTTCTTTTCTTACTTTTTTGAGGCTATTGGGCTTAAGTGACTTGCCAGGGTCACACAGCTATTAAGTGTCTGAGGTTGGATTTGAACTCAGGTCCTCCAGGCTCCAAGGCTGGTGCTTTATCTACTGCACCACCTAGCTGCCCTATTTGTATACTTTCCAGGCAACCAAAAAGATCTCACCCCACCCCCTCCATGGGTGGAGAATACAGTTTAAAGCTATGTTGCAATTGAGGCAACACACAGGTAAATCTCTGCCCGTTCCCTCTTCCATATGAGAGCCCTAAGTCTTTTCTTTTCCAGGTTAAACATTCCTGTTTCCTTCAGTCAGTCCATATCTGGCATTACCTGGAGGCTCTTCACCATCCTGATTGCCCTCCCCTGGGCACTGTACCTCTCGTACTTGTAAATTGTATATGCTTAGTAAATGCTTAAAGAATTGAATCTTATAGATGAGAAAACTGACTGGCCAGGATGTATGGGGGATGGTTAGGGGAAATTAGCAGGAGGTCTAGGGGAAGAAGCTGAGCAACAATTCACATTTTTGGAGTGCTTGAGTTTACAAAACACTTTTCCAGCAGCAGGCCCTGTTTGACAGATGGTACAAGTATTATCTCCATTTTACTGATCAATCAGTCAGTGAGCCTTTATTAAAATACCTGTTTGTGTGCCAGGCACTGTATTAAATGCTGGCATGAATTGAAGGCCTTTTACCATTCTAATTGCCCTCCTCTGGGCACTCTCCTGTTTCTCCACATTCTGAAATGTGGTAATGGGGCAGCTAGATGGCACAATGGATAGAGCGCTGGGTTTGGAATCAGGAAATCTCATCTTCCTGAGTTCAAATCTGGCCTCAGACACTTATTAGCTGTGTGACCCTGGGCAGGTCGCTTAACCCTGTTTACCTCAGTTTCTTCATCTATAAAACAGACTGGAGAAGGAAATGGCAAACCACTCCAGTATCTTTGCCACAAAGACCCTACATGGGGTCACGAAGAGTCAGATACATCTTAAAAGACCCAACAATAACAAACAATATGGTAATGTAAGTGATAAAAACAAAAGACTTCAGGCCCTGCTCTGAAGGAGTTTATCTTCTAAGTGTCCTGTGCTAGTGTCTCCTATGTCTCACCATCAATACCAGTGTTCTTCAGAGATAGAGAAGGTGCTGTGCTCTGTGAGCAAAGCAGAATTGCAGTAGTTCAGAAGGAACTTGAGACATACAAATTTAGAGACATCTCTACTCCAGGTGTTCATATGGACATATGAATATGTGCCTTACCTGTAATGGAGCTTTTCTGAGCTCACATTGGTCTCATCAGCCACAGCCGGACATACATTGACCCTGACGTCATGATGTCCTTTTTGAGTATGAAGGGCAACAATCAACTATTCTTTTTTAAAATTAATTTATTTTGATTTATCAGCCATCACTTCCATAAGCTTTTGAGTTTAAAATTTTTCTCCCC